GTGGACCAGTCGGGCTCAAGAAATGGAGGAGGCAGGAGCAGTAGGCAATTACCGCAAGCTCTTCCAGCTAATACGCACCACTGGTCCGAGAAAACCAGGCGTCAGTGAGACAATCAGGGACAGCGCGGGTGCGCTGATACACAATAAGGAGCGCCGTATGGCTCGTTGGGCTGAGCACTTTGAACATCAGTTCAGCTGGCCCCCTGCTCCCGGACCTCTTCCTACTCAGGTGATGCAGGACGAGCCATGGACGGTTAGTTTAGAGCCTCCGTCGGAGGCCGAGGTCCGAAACGCGATCATAGCCCTCAATCGTTTTCGTGCCGCTGGCCCGGATTCCCTCCCACTTGCACTATTTAAGGATGGAGGTGAGGTCCTCTGCGGGGCTCTCACCTCCCTATTCGAACGTATCTTGAACGAAGAGAGTGTGCCGGCTAATTGGAGCGAATCGATTATAGTGGCAATATACAAAAAGGGCAGTCGCACAGACTGTGCGAACCACAGGGGTATTAGCCTAACGCCAGTTGTGACAAAATTACTGGCCTCGATTATCGTTCGTCGCCTCACTGCAGAACGGAAATCTCGGAATAGGGAAGAGCAGACCGGTTTTCGCCCAGGACGTGGCTGTATAGACCATATATTTACTTTGCGGCAGGTGTTAGAGCAGCGCCACGCATACCGCAGACCGACAATAGCTGTGTTCCTCGATTTCAAGAGTGCGTTCGATTCAGTCGATCGATCGGTTCTGTTCGAAATACTTGCGCGGAAAGGTGTTCCCACGAAATATGTGAACATTCTTCGTGCTCTATACTCGAACACTAGAGGCCGCGTCAGGGTCTATGGTGCCCTATCGGATAGCTTTTCGACTACAAGTGTCGTTCGACAGGGTTGCCCGATTTCCCCGTTTTTGTTTAATTTCGTCGTGGATTCTATCATGGAGTGTTCCCTGATGGAATCCAACGATGTAGGTGTTGAAGTGCTGCCTGGTGAACGGTTAGTTGATCTAGATTATGCGGACGATATCGTCTTGCTTTTCGACGATTTTGCGGCGGCACAGTCAACTCTGGAAAGCCTGTCCAGAGTGGTCCCATTATTTGGTATTCACTTCGCACCTTCAAAGTGCAAAGTTTTGCTGCAGGACCACCAGCCACTTGATGACCCGTTGACGCTTGCTGACGAGGAACTCGAGGTGGTTGATCATTTCACTTATCTTGGCAGCTGCATCAGCAATGATGGGCGCATAGAAACTGACGTGAGCTCACGCATTGCAAAGGCCAGAGCTGCCTTCTTGAACCTGCGTCATCTTTGGCGACAGAAGGGAGTTTCCCTCCGTCTGAAAGGCCGTGTATACAAAGCCACAGTGAGGGCCGTTCTGCTCTATGGTAGTGAAACTTGGACCCTTCGGTCTGAAGATCTGAGGCGCCTTCAAGTCTTTGATCATCGTTGTTTGCGAAGCATTGCTGGTGTCGGATGGCACCAGCGTGTCCGCAACGATGATGTGCGTAGGCGAGTACTAGGTGGTGATGATCATGCTAGCTCCCTAGAACAACAGATAGCACTGAAAAAGTTGCGTTGGCTCGGGCACGTGCTACGCATCAAGAGTGTGCCCTCCGAAATCCGTGCTGAGCAGGAGAGGTGACGTCCAATTTCTCAAAGTGAAGATGCAAGGCCTGTTTCAAAATCCTTTCTATGGTTTTAAAGAGGATTGATGGCAGGCAAACCGGTCTGTAGTTCACTGGATCTTGGCGATTCCCACCTTTGTACATCGATTTCACATTTGCTTTCCATTTAGCTGAGAGACGACCTGCTTCAAGTGAGCTTCGAAATATTTGACAAGTAGGTGCAGCAATGAACTCCGCCACTTGGAGGAACAAGGGATGTAAGCCATCGGACCCGGTGCAGAATTCGAGTTCAAGTCGAGAAGCGGTTCCAGTACTCTGTCAGTTGTAATTTCGACATGCTCTAAAGGATAGTGGGTGACTGCGAGAATCCTCGACAACTAACGGTGCCTCCGCCATATACACAGAGAAATATTGCGAAGCTAGTAGACAAACTTTCACTATGTCATCATGAAGCACGGTGTCACCTTTGCTTGAATACAGTGCAGGTACACCGTTGCCAGCTTTGGTGCTTCTTTATAGGTATGCGAAAAGTCTTTTCGGATTAATCGCAGATTGCTCGGCCGGATCCTGCGCATATAATTCTCGCTTCTCGCGCTTTCTCAGTTTGCATAAATTTCTAACATCTTTGTAATGAGCATAATTTTGAGCCGTTTGAGTGAACTTGAACCGGCCCCAAAGTTTTCGACTTCTCAGCATGAGCGATTTGGTTTCCTGATCTATCCATGGGGGCCCTTTGGAGAAAGATGGTTGTGACCCTTGGAACAACCCGATTAATGATAAACGTCATATTGGAGCACAAAAGGTCCCAAGCAGCACCGAGATCCAAATGATGAGGTATGTTCCAGTCCATGAGGCTAGCAGCCAATTTTAAGTGGAGGGGGTCAGCTCGAAGAAATTTCCTCTTTGCGCTCCCTGGATATTGATTGCTAACTCTCGTCCACAAAAATAAGACTACACAGTGATCACTTTTGCCAAGTGGCTGAAGGATGGCTAGAGCGGAGACATCTGATGAGCCAGGTGTGAGCACAAGGTCAAACATATGTGGCACATGGCCTGAAAAATACGGGTAGGTGACAAAACGTGTTGTGTTAGATTACAATGGAGGACTGTTTCTACTAAACAAATCTGGAGAGGAATTACAATAAAGCGCATCCCAGTCTACGGCCGGAGCATTGACGTCACCCACAATCAAGCAATCTTTACCTCCCCCATGTATCCTCATAGAGTCTAGCGGTTGGGATCCTGACCCCAAGGGGGATTTAGATAACGCCGACTATGAGCGGTCTGAACTCATCGTGAACCCTACACCGAAGAATTTCCGATCCTCCATCGAGATCACACATGGCTTCCACTGTGTGAACTTTAAGGTCTAACTTCCAGTAAAGAGCAACATCGCCCGCGGATCTCCCTCCTAGATGATCCCCACGGAATAGTTTATACCATGGAATACATACCTCCGAGTCTGAAATATCCGGGGATAGCAAAGTCTCCGTAAAAGCCATCAGATCGGGTTCTTGCTCCGAGGTCATGAGTAGAATCTCATCCAATTTGTTTCTCAAACTACGCACGTTCGGCGATATCACACGCAATCCATTCCTGATTTTCAGTGCACCAGAAGAACGAAGATTGGTCTCTAACGAGTCCTCAGGATTCTTTTTACCACTCGAAAATCTACAATGTTAAGGTCGCTTTCACCAGCTGCCCGTCGGCTTCGTAGTTCATCAATGGCCTGCTTCATTTTAACTCGAGCTTCTGGGGAGAGGTCTCTCAGAACATAAAATGTTTCTCCTTTCAAACGTGTGGTCCGCCTTAGGATACGGCGGCATTTCTCTTCATCTTGTCAGACCACCTTTAGGGGCGAACTTTCGGGGTGTCATCCTGCTTCCTGCCGATGTGAAAAGCGGAAACGAAGTTTTTGCCCTTTTTCCCAGCATCGAACAGTAACGAAACCATCCGCCTCAGAAACGCTTGGTCTTCCAATATCCTCTCATCCGAGGATTCCTTATTAAACTCGGGTGTTTGCGATGATCAGACATCGTTTCCTCTCGGAAAATCGGCTTTTTTCACTTTGATGCGGCTTTTGCGGGTAAGCATTTGCCTTAATCATATTCTCCAACTGATTCACTTTATCGATACCATGTTTTAACTATGGCTGAGAAGAGTTCGAATTAGACTTAGATTTGCAGCCTTCTTCGTCTTCCCATTATTTAGCGGAATCATGGGTACCGGTGTTACGCGGCTTCTCGCTACCACTGCATAAGTCCTTTCCTTATGTTCGTTGAACTGCCGGCCAATGAACGATGGTTCTGGGGATGAAATTGTAAAAAAACAAGCTTTTGCTTTCCAGGGGAGTGTCCGGGCCAGATGCAGA